GATCTCCGAGCTTGATAATTGTCTTTAAGACATTTCATTACCCAATTAGATGACTTCTGGCACTGATGATGTTATCTACTTTGCTAATGAAACATCTGCAAGAAAACAACCAAGGTCAGAGAGCATCAAGAACCCTATAAGGAGAATTTTAAGTGATGTCCCGTAAGACTCTTAAAGAACCCTATGGTTTGTAATGGCATCCCAAAATACCAGATGACTCACAAAGTTATAGTACAGACTCTCTAGTGTTGTGTGAATGGTCGGGGTGGTGGGAAGTAGAAAGATTCATCCTATGCCTAGGTTTGGACATAGTAGTTTGGACATAATAAGGTAATAATTTGATATAAGTTGACTCACTCAAAAACAGTTAATCAACTTAAAAAGACAAGACAAACCCTTAAATAGCATAGAAGCAAAGCCTATCGAAACCAGAATTGTGACAAGGGTAGTAACAAGAATTATAAAGAAAAGAACTCTAAATTGGAAGATGTTTCAAAAATATATAATTATGTTAAAATAAAAAATGAAAGGCACCACTAACAAGTATGTAACCATGCATAGATTCTAGCAATAAGTTGGAGGTGTGTCAGTTGACTGTAAATTACTCTTGAAACCGGTAATAACTAGGAGTTGATGCTATTTTGTTTGAATTATTCCTTTAGGGTTAATCTTTTCTATGTAAATGCACATTTTTTCCACCAGATAATGATCAACTTTCATTAATCATTTCCCTAACCCCAATGATATTTTTTTCCTGCTTTAGTTCAGCTGCAGAATAGAAATACTATTATATGAGGAATTGAATGATTTCTATATTATGATCAATGCAGAAAAGTAAATTCTAAGCTTTGGAAATAACTTTTACTAAAATATGAATTTATTTTAGTTGGTATGCCACCCATCTGAAACACTAAGCAAAACACTCCTCGAAAATAATAGCCACACAATAAAATAAACCAAATGTAGTATAAAGATTACACACAAAAATCAAATATGAAACAACATCTGCCCATCAAATTTAAACATTCAACCGTAGCACTCTCTCCTTTTGTGCTTGGTGTATTAATGTATTAATTAATGCTAGTTTCTGGTTTGAATAAATTTGCCTATGATTAATCTACATATCATTTGCAGGAAGCAGAAAGAAAGCTGTGTAATTCTTTATAACTTGACTTTAGCTACTCTTGAGATATGTGGTCTTCCATTCCCAGAATCCCTTGCCCAAATGGTGAACATCAGAATTTTGTAGTTTATGTTTCTGATTTTTAATATACTATATGATATTTCTAAGTTGTTCGGAATCTTTGGAAATGAAGCCGCATATAAGCTGAAGTAATGAATCAATAATATTCATAGCTGTAATGAGTTTACTTTTTTGCCAGTCCTTTTATGTAGTTGGAAATTATGTGAAAAATATGTGCAGGCTTTGCAGAATAAACCCAGGGCGACAGAATCTTCAAACCGCCCCAAATAATTCTTTGAAGAGCCAAGTTTTCACTGGTTCTTTGAAAAGAGAATAGAGTGGCTATTTATCGATCTTGGCAACTCTGAAGATGTATGGATTTCAACACCAGGACTTTGAATTATTCAAAATTGTTTTGGAACTTTATAAAGTGCATGCCGTCTTTTATATGTACACAAGGAGATAATTATCCAATAGCTGTTTTCAAAGAGCCAGCTTTCATGTTAATCCAGAACTGGAGAAAAGGTTTCTAAATGATAGTGATTAACCAAACAGGGATTAACCAACTCTATCACCAAAGGATAGGACCCTATGAGGAGTTTCTCATTGGCTCTTCCAGGGACACCCCTGTCCCACCTCCACCAGCGATCAATCTCTCTGCAAGGCAACAGATGGGAGCAATGGCCTTCCAAATCACCTACTTTGACCCATTTGTAATGTATACTCACATTGTTAGTCAAGTTATCCTTGTTGAAAAAGAAAGATGGGCCATTATTAAGTTGATTTGCAATCACCAACTATTCCTAAACAGTGGCATTCCCATGAAAGCTTTAGTAATCCTTCATTAACAAGTGCTTAATCGTTTGTATCAGAGGTCTGGATCCAATGATATGATGTAGTTCCTCCCATCGTACTTTTTAGATCATGGGCTTGTCTCCACAGCACTCTACAATGTAACCCATGTGTAGCTGACACAAGGTTTAGTGCAGGGGTCTTCAAACTTGACAGTTTGCCATCAAATTTGTGTTTGCTCTTAGATAGATAAACATAGATAAAAGAGTTTTCTCCAGAAGGATCTATCCCCAGCCTGCTTCTTTGAGTTTTTCAACAGTGGTCCTATCATCCCTGCCATTGAGCCAATCCATCTTGCTGTTGGCCATCCCCTTGTTTCCTTCCACTTTTCCAAGCATTGAAGCTTCTGCCAGAGAGCAAGGCCTTTATTTGAATGTCATATTGTATATATCCTCTTGGGTTGCATGTTAGTCCCAATTACTATTGGAGCATCTGGAAGCTTCATTTGGCTCAAAATGTAAAATAAGTGCCCACGGCACTTATGCAAGAGTCACCTCGTGTGAGTTGGGCTTGTAATTTTGCTTAATAAATAAACCACATATTTTGTGTCTGGCTGCACATTCAATGAAAGTGCAATTCCTGACATTTTTATTATTCAAAGATTGAATAGCCAGAGTTCTACCAAGCTCTACCAAAATAGATAGATCTGATCTTGAGGTTCTGGCATTATTTGGTCTCCCCGCTCCCCAAGTGTACACCTGTGGCTAAAATCCTCAAAGGCTGAAACAACTAAGATCCTAAAACTTTGTTATTGCTTGATGAAGAAATACTGATGTTTAAACCAGATAAGAAAATACACTTTTGATCAATCAATAAAAAATATCTAAATGCCTTCAATGCTATTTTGGTCAGAAATATAATCTAACCACTGGCTTTCTTTAAATACACAGTTACTTGCTCTGATTTTCATCTCATCACTCATCACAGTTGGGCATCTACAGCTATTTTCAGAGTAGCTCCATGACTTGCTGGCATCGAGGTTGTTAAAGAGAAGTCCCACGCAGGAGCTGAGAGAAAATAGATACAGGTTGTCCTTAACTTACAACAGTTCATTTAGTGACCGTTCAAAGTTACAATGGCATTGAAAAAAGTGACTTATGACTATTTTTCACACTTACGAACACTGCAGCATCCCCATGGCTCGTGATCAAAATTCGGCAACTGACTCATATTTACGACGTTTGCAGTGCCTTGGGGGTCATGGGATCTGCTTCTGCAACCTTCTGACAAGCAGTCATTGAGAAAATCAGATTCACTTAACAACTGTTACTAAACAACTGTGGCAAGAAAGGTCATAAAATGGGGCAAAATTCACTGTTTCACTTAACAATGGAAATTGGGCTCAATTGTGACCATAAATCAAGGACTTTAATGTATTCCAAAATAGAGTTCCACCACTGCCTCCTTTAAGGCTTAAGGGCCTCTTTTTCACCCTCTCAAAAAAAGTTATATCATCACTTAGAGACCCATCCCCAATTTATCTCATAGGTTGGTTTAATAACTCAATGCTGGCTGGGGAATTCTGGCAGTGGAAAGCCCTCCCACCTTGTTATAAAGTTACCAAGACTGGGAAACCCTGCCTGAAAGAAAGAAAGGCTGGGAAACCCTGCCTGAAAGAAACTTCCCAATTCCAGAAAAAAATTCTCAATTCCAATTCCCAGTTCCAGACTTGAAATTTTAGGCCTTAGACAACTTAGAACTACGCCGCCATCGGTCCGACCTCAGCGTTGTACATAAAATTATCCATTGCAATGTCCTACCCATCAATGACTACTTCAGCTTCAACCACAACCGTACAAGAGCACATAACAGATACAAACTCAATGTAAACCGCTCCAAACTTGATTGCAGAAAGTACGACTTCAGCAACAGAGTGGTCAATGCCTGGAATGCACTACCTGACTCTGTTGTTACCTCCTCTAAGCCCCACTCCTCAAACTATCCACTAGAACATAATACTTTATTGGCCAAGTGTGATTGGACACACAAGGAATTTGTTTTGGTGTAAATACTCTTCAGTATACATAAAAAATACATTCGTTAAGAATCAAGAATAACGTACAACACAATGATAGTCATAGGGTATAATCAGCAATCAAATCATACTAGGAAACAGTCAATATAAATCATAAGGATACAAGCGACAAAGTTACAGTCCTACAGTCACAAGTAGGAGGGGATGGGTGATAAGGAGAAGATTAACAGTTATAGTAGTGCAGACTTTGTAATAGTTGAACGGTGTTGAAGGAATTATTTGTTTAGCAGAGTGATGGCTTTCAGGAAAAAAACTGTTCTTGTGTTCTTTTGTCTATTGACGTCACCAATTTCATTCGTAAGAGGTCTGTAAGGGATGTGCATAAGTGCAGCCTAACGTCCCTGTCCTAATGTCTCCCTTTTATTCATACCTATTTCATGTATTCATAATCATGTTTATATTTACATGTTATCTCTAATACAGAGGTCTCCAACCTTGACAACTTTAAGCCTGGCAGACTTCAACTCCCAGAGTTCCCCAGCCAACTTTGCTTGGCTAGGGAATTCTGGGAGTTGAAGTCCAGCAGGCTTAAAGTTGCCAAGGTTGGAGACCCCTGATCTAATACATGCTTGACCAATAAATAAATAAAAATAAAATAAATAAATAAAAACGAGGAGGGGAAAAAAAAAACCCTTCATTTTAGCATTTAACCAATATCGGAGAATCGCCCTCAAAGCTCCAGACGAGAAGCAGCAGCAAAAAAAAAAAAAGGCGGCAGAGCACGCGCACCCCGAGAAGCCTGGGCGGGGCGCCACTCCTCCCTCCTTTTTTTTTTTTTTCCTCTCCCCCCCAGGCTGCTTTGCGCCGGAGCGTGCTTGGTGGCGGCGGCGACGCCGCCTGCGTGGTGCCTTCTAATACAAAGGGGCGGAGCTTCCCGTCGTAGAGCCAAGAGGGCTGGGCAGAGCTCTGAGAGAGAGAAGCGAGCCCCTCCTTTTTCTTCCCCCCTCCCCGCCGGTCTCGCGCCTTTCATTTGCCGGCTGCGTTGTTCGCGTGACGCCGCAGTTGCTGCCGTTGCTCCGCTTTCTCTCTCTTTCTCTCCTCAGGCGCGTCACGTTCGCTCGCTCGCTCTTCTCGTTTTTCTTCTTCTTCTTCTTCTTCTCTCTCGTCGTCTCTCTATGGACAACTACATCCACGTCCCGTCGGGCTCGCCTGAGGTACCCAAGCTGGACATCTTCGTCAGCGAGAGGGACCCTTCGGGCGGCGGCAATCCGGGTTACCGCCGCGGAGCCCTGGAGCTGCTTCGCCGGCTTAGGCCCGATTGGAAGCCCGAGGAGGTGACGCTGAAGGTAAAAAAAAAGTCCAGGGCGGTGGCCCCACCGGCTGCGAAGGGGGCGCGGCGGTGGCCGGCTGTGAGGGGCTGCGGAGGGCGGGCCCGGGTTGAACCAAAGCCGGGTTTCTTCCCCCGCCGCCTCTTCCTCATCTTCCTCGGGCGTCTTTCTCGGCGCTCCGAGGCTGAGCAGAGTCAACCAAGGCCCCGCCGCTCGCTCACTCGGGCGCCCTTCGCAGAAGGCCGTACCCGCCGTCTCCCGCCCCAACGGGGTGCGGTGGGAGTTGGGAATCCGGCGCTTCTGGAAGGCGGCGGGGAGGGGAGAGAGAGAGAGGGAGGGACGGAGGCAGCACCCCCCCTTCCTCAGGAAGCCCCCTGAGAGGAGGAGGAGGAGGAGGAAGAAGGAAGGAGGCTTCGCCGCCTTGTTGCCGTCTTTCTGGCCGGCCTGCGAGACGCGTGTCAAGAGAGAGCGTGTGTCTGGAGGTGGGTGGGGAACGGGGCGGGTCTGCTTGTCCGCCTTTCCCGTTTCTCCTAAGCTTTCCTGCAAAGGGGAAAAGGGGGGGGGGGGGGGGTTTTCCTTCTTCCCCCCCCCCCCCCCCAAGGGGGGGGGGGTGGGGGGGGGGGGGGGGGGGCTTTTCCCACCCATTTCGAAAAGGATGATGTAGCTTGGGACGCACACACTCTTACCTAAGTTTGGGAGGAATAGGACACACACACACACACCCTATCTAAGTTTGAGAGGAATGAATGTCTTTCCTTTTCCCCCAAGCATCCCAGTTCTGTTACTGGTGAGAAGGCAAGCTTAGCAACATCCTGGCTTCTGGGAGTGTCATCCCAGCAGCCCTATTATCTCTTTCCGGGGAAAGTGACCAAAAGCACAATTCTCTCTCTCTCTCTCTCTCTCTTTTGCATCCATTGTCCTGGTTAGCCTTCTCTTTTGTTAAGAAGGATTGGGTTCTGATAGAGTTTGAACTGTTTTCAGCAGTCTACCAAGCCTGAGTGTCTGCCTGAGCTTTGCATCACAGCTCTGTTAATCTTTAACAGAGAACCTAGAAGCATCTTGATCTTTAAGCGTTAAAGCTACTGTTCTGCCCTTGTCATACATGTGCATATCTTGGTGTAACTCTGGTATGAATGATTAAGAATGCAGGGTTTCCTGATTCTTTAAATATGTCTTTGATGCAAATGAGTCTCTCCCATAAGATAGAATATGTGTAGTTTAGGATTTGAACTATGGAGTGCTATCTGGGCTTGGTGATTTTGGGCTTGGTGATTTGATGTTGATACATAGTTGGGTAATGAAATCTGTAAGCAGACAAGCTCAAAGAGCAATGTCTCCACAAAATGACTCTATATATTAAAGTTATAATAGTATAGAATTTGAATGTATATGAGAATGCTTACTACAAGTATTATTTTGCCTCAAAATAAAATGTTGGCATTTCCAGAGATCCACCCATGAGCTAAGCACCTGGGTAAGCTTAGGCCATCACCTTTGTTCCACTAAAATTTCTTCTCTTGCAGATGTGCCTTGTATGGATGAAAGCTGCATTCCTAGCCTTTCCTAGCCTGAAAATGATTGACTGTAAATGTAGCCTTATACTCCCTTCAGTTTCTTTTCAAGGAACCTCACTTAGCCAATTTCTTTTGTACTACATGTAAAAAATGCTTCTAAAAATGTGGCTTGTTCTCAGTAAAATTCTATATTGGTGTTAAAGTAATAATGAAACTATAATCTATTTTAGATAGCAATTATATTTTGAAAGTTAAAAATAGTGCATAATAAAACTCTGAAACAATACAATTAATCAAATATCCTGAAGAATTTACCCATGTTGCATATTATAGGGAGCACTGATTTCATGTATTTGTTAAGTGCTAAAAACTTTAATTAGGGTGCTCTCAAGGAGAGTAAAACTTTGTAAAGCATATAGTGCAAAACATTTTTCCTGTTGATTTTAAGCCCTAGAACATTATCTCAAGCAAAGGTTTTCACTTACATCTAAAAATTGAACATGTATAAGTTTGCATTTGTTTGAAATAGATACATTAGCATTACCTTTTACAAACAGACATTATCTGTTCCAACACTAATGAATTGCATTTGTTCATTCATATTGCTGTTTCAGTGGTAATTGCTTCTATGCCTCAATGACCATATTTAGAAAAAGATACCAAGTAGAAATGATAATTTTTATGTGAGATAGGTGATAATGAATTTGGAAAAGGATAATTTACTAAATTATATCAGTTTAGGAAACTAAGTGTTACTATGAGCTTGGGCACTATCTGTTTTACTGGTTTCAGCTAGATTTTAGACCACACTTGCTGAGAGGCAGCAGAAACATTTAAATAATATGATAGAAAAATAGATTGCATATTGTAATTGTAGCTGTGTTATGCCAGGAGGAACTGAAAGTCATCACCAAGTTCAGGTTCACAATAAACAAAGAAGAAATGTACTTAAAGCAGTGTTGGAAAACTGAATAAATGTATTTAAAGCAGTGTAGGAAACCTGTGTCCTTGTAGGTTTTCCTACAATTCGACATGGATAATTGAATCCTGTTTTAAAAAGTTTGCAACCTTTTTTCTCGTTTAGGTCAAATATTTACACTATGCATTTTAATTTTGATATGTTTATAATTTTATTGAAAATCTAAATAAAATAAAATGAAATTAAAATTGTTAAAATAAAATTAAAAAATAAAATTGTCTGCTGGCTCTTGTCAGGGACTTATAAATGAAGTGTTTCAAAATCTGTAAAATACACTTCTACATTATACTAACATATCTTTTAATAATGAATATTGGTATCTTCAAAGTATTTTAAATTGTAAAGCTAAACATTCACAAAGCATTTAAATGAATTAGTAAAATAATATGTTGTTTGTGACTAAATATTGACAATCTTTGACATGTCAGTTACTCATTACAAACAGAGGAGGTGTATGCTTAGGGCAAGAAAAATGATAGAAAATATGTTACGCTATTAATAGCATACAAAGGCTAATCTAGCTGCTGTCAAAATGTGTATTATGTATTTCGCTTTTTTTGATATTTGTTTGTCAAAGATCCCTAACAAAAGGACTCTGGTTTGTATTCGATCTGCTCTTTTGTCATTTCTTCCAGCCAAATTTTAATTTTCTGCCAATATTTTTGAGCTTCTGTACAAGACCACCACATATGGAAAAAAGTTCCCTCTTTTTTTTGCATTTCCAGCAATTCAGACTCATATTGGGGTACATCTTTGCTAATCTCAAAGGAGGAAGGTGCCATCTATAAAACATTTTATAGGCATTTTCTTTATATGCTACCGATTTTGTAATCTTATTGTTTCTACCCCAGACCTTTTCCCATTCTGTTAAGGTGATACTACGTCCTACATTCCTACTCCAGGCAATCATGTTCCCTTTTACAATTTCTTCTTCCAATTCAACTTCTCATAAATAATTATAAAATTTTGTTATTTTTTTTTTGCCTGATCCTAATAAAATTTTATCTAATTGCTGGAGTTATTAAGGAGTCTTAAGGAAAAGAAAATGGCTTAAGCAAATGACCCTTCAATTTCAATACTATAGTAAACTCTTTGGTTAAGGATGAATTAATATAAGATGGAATGCTAGTTTTATTTATTTTAAAAAAGAACTCTCCAAAGAAAAGCAGCCTTTAAGAATCTCAAAGTAATCCTAAATCACACCACCATTATAGCTAAATTTCAGCAGGAAAATGTTAGGTCAGAAACTGCTATATATAAAGGTGGGAATGGAAGCATGAGAAACTACTTGTAAATTTGCATTCCATAGACTTGATCCTGCTCTTATGATGTCACTGCAATTTTTGGTTCTGATGCATAAGGAATTTATCCATATGCACCCATACAAACTGAGAACATAATGTAAAAATGAGTTATTCATTTATCTGTTTTATTTGTAAAGATTTGTGCTCTGAGTCATGCAGGTGAGATGGGCAATACAGGTAGTCCTCGGCTTACAACAGTTCATTTAGTGGCTGTTCAAAGTTACAACAGCACTGAAAAAAGTGACATGACCCTTTTTAACATTTAAAACTCTTGTGACATCCCCCTGGTCTTGTGATCACAATTGAGACACTTGAAAAATAACTCACATTTATGACAGTTGCAGTGTCCCAGGGTCATATGATCACTTTTTGTGACCCACTAATAAGCAAAATCAGTGAGGAAGCCAGTTTCCCATAGCAACCATGTTACTAGTAACTTCAGTGATTCACTTAACAACTGTGGCAAGAAAGGTCATAAAAATGGGGCAAAATTCATCTAACTGTCTTATGTAACAACAGAAATTTTGGGCTCAATTGTGATTGTAAGTTGAAGACTGTCTGTGTAGAAATTGGAAAAAGTCTTTTCAGCCCAAAGGTGCTGAGCAGCTAATACTGTAATTTTCCTGTTATATTATAGTAATTAGACTTAAAACAACTTGGTGGGTAACACTGGTTCACTCTCTCCAGCTCTCGGGCCCTCTCCAGCCCTCTCTCCAGCTCTCGGGAACAGCTTAATCCCTGAAGAAGAGCTAGAGGTCTGGACTGTGTTCTAGTACATCAAGAGGGGCAGGGCATCTTTGTTTCAGAGTTAAGCTAATCCAAAAAAGGAACTCTATAGCAGAAGGTTTCTGTCCAGGTGTTCTGTCACCGATGCTACAAGAGGTTTCTTGCAACATGACCTTCCTATTTTTATTGGAAGGCAGCAAATGCTAGAAATACTAATAATTTAAATGCATCTGTATATATATATAATGAGTTAGTTTTAGTAGTTTCTAGTTCATTTGATGCAAGCATCTATAGCTGTAATTTTGCATTCTTGGGTAAAATTATTTTTGCAGACAGACTATAGTTCATTTGTAAGCTTTGTTCACTGTTAATTGATATAAATCTATGGTATGCTATACGAAATGTAGAACATAAGCATCCAAGTGAAACATAATTGCACACTTTATTTCTTAAACCTATATTTATAATTTGATAGATAGGCGTCACAATTGTATCAGGAGAGGATAGGTTTTCTTCCCGAAAGGGGGAAATCATTTCTACATATAATTTCTGCATGCGTAATTCCCAACATCATTGCCTCCCTGGTTGTGCAGCAGTAAAATTAAAATGTAGTTAGAATTCAATATACTAAAGCTACAAAGAAAGATAGTGTTACTTGATTGATTTGGGCTAATGCCAAACTGTTGTATAGAAATTTAATGAAGAATTTGAACTCATTGGAGGCAGGAGAGAATATGTTTATAGCTTACAGGGATGCACTAATAATAACTAAATATGGTTATTACAGTAGTTGTACGTAGCTCATTCATACCTAGGACATGCAAAAGAATAACAGTGATAAAGCCTGGGATTCTGTTATCTTAAATAAGGGAGAAAACAAATTATAGTTTCTGTCTGTGTATGAAAGAGAAATAGCTAAGTTCCTATGGAAATGCTTGCTTCAGTAGCATAAAGATAGGGGCATGTCAAGATTGATGTTTCATGAGACAGGTTATACCAGGAACCCATTATTTCCCCTTCTATTAATATTCTTTCTTGGCAACCATTTCTTGAACTTCTCGCGCTTGGATTTGCTGACATCATAGTATTGGGTTAGTCAGAAAAGTACCACAGCAGCCTCTGCTGTCTAAAATGTCTAACTGCGGGGGTGGGGGAGAGATACTGAAATACATTCTGCAAAAGTGTTACAAACATGTTCTATATTAAGCAGATATAGTACAGGTAGTCTTCCACTTAGAACCACAGTTGCTAAGCAAGACAGTTAAGTGTGTTCTACCCCATTTTATGACCTGTCTTGCCACATTTGTTAAGTGAATCGCTACAATTAAGTTAGCAACATGGTTGTGTTACGTGAAACCACTGGAGAAGAGATCTAGTCCTAAATTTTGGGATGTGGCATCACCAGCTTCCTCATGGTTCCTGATGTTATTTCTTTTTATCTAAACTAAATAAGGCTCTCTTGAATAGATATCTAAATTTGTTAAATTTGAAAGCCAATACATTAAAAAACTTAAACTGATACTGGATTTATGTTTGATTCAAGTATTGAATTTCACTACATTCTCTTCCTTGTGTAATGTCTTTGTTGTTAGCATTCTTTTTTCTTTTTCTTTTGTTGCTGTTTCTATTTTCCGGTACTCATTTTTGCTCTTAATAAAATAATTCTTTTTATTTGACAGCATACTTTCACACTTAGTAAATCTTTCTTTAATTACATTTGTTACTATTGAGTTATGGTTATTCTGTTAGGTTAATTTTATGATAAACTGGACTATAAAGTGCCATCACTCACAAAGATGTTTAAATTTAGCTGAGACATCTCTAAATTAGGAAGTAATTTTACTCAGCTATTCTGTATCCCTCAAAGTGGGTTGTATTTATTGGTTGAGAAAAGTTAAGACTTAGATAAGTTCAGCATAATACTAGTGATTATGCAGATATATCTATATCCATTTTGGGAAGAGCATGGAAATGTTTTGTTTCATTTTTACTTTCCTGATTAGCAAACAATCTTGTTTAATAAATGACCTAAAGTCGCCCAGTTAATCCTTGCCTTATGATCACAATAGAGTCCAAAATTTATGTTGCCATGCAAGACCGTTAAGTGATTTGCACCCCATTTTACAAACTTTGCCATGGTTGTTAAGTGAATCATGGCAGTTCAGCAAATATGGCTTCCCTGTTGACTTCACTTGTTGGAAGCCAGCTGGGAAGGTTACAAATGGCAATCATATGACCCAGGGACAGTTCAACTGTCATAAATAAATGCCAGTTACCAATCACCAAATGTTGGTCACATGATCATGGGGATGCTGCAACAGTCATGAGTGTGAAAACCAGTCATAACTCCCTTTTTTGAATGGTGGTGTAACTTTGAATGGTCACTAAATGAATGGTTGTAAGTTGAGAATTACCTGTATTAGCCAGGCCCAATCCAATTTACCTTTTGAACTCAGAAAAGGTCAACCAAATTTTGCCAAGCAAACTTCTTTCAAGGCAAAACATAATGTAATGGTAGTTAAGATATACAGCTATTTCACTAAACTAAAAGCATTGCCTTTTCTTTGCAGATATTTACAGATGGAATCACAAATAAACTCATTGGCTGTTATGTGGATGAAAAAATGGATGATGTTGTCCTTGTTAGAATTTATGGGAATAAGACAGAACTCCTAGTTGATCGAGAAGAGGAAGTGAAGAGCTTCCTTGTCCTGCAGGCCCATGGTTGTGCACCCCAACTTTACTGCACCTTCAGCAATGGCCTGTGCTATGAGTTCATACAAGGAGAGGCTCTGGATCCAGAACATGTTTGCAACCCAGAGATATTTCGGTAAGCATTTTGGAAGTCTTCTTTTACACATAATTTATTCAAAGAGGATGCTATCTACAATAATATGCTTGTAGTGTTTTTTGATTAAATACATTTAAATCAATTTCCAAAGAAATCAATTTGATTCCTAAAAGTGGGTTATTGTTCTAAAATGCAGTTCATTAATAGCTTAAAATCTTAGTTAATTAATGTAGATTTTAATGGATGAAACCTTACATAATTATTCCAGCGGCACCTTTGTTCTGCAGTACAGTTTTGTGATTGATAGTGTAGCTTTTATGTAATTTTATTGCCAAATATTTTTGCTTTTTTATTAGACCGTATCTTGAAATAACATTGTATTTTATATAATTTTATTGAATTTGAAAGTTTTATTAGTAATTATGAGTCTATATGTTTTATTGTGCTTTCTGATCCAAAGGCTGTAATAAAGGTTTAATCTGATTTTGCAAATCTGCCAGGGATGTTCCTCATTTAGCTTTATCTATCTTCTGAATATTTTTCCACTGATTCTGTTTTTCTGGCTTGAATTTTATTGGTACTCTATAATACTCAAAGCTTCTTAGAATATTTTTCCTTAGTCATTTGCCCCAGCTTGCTTTAAATTATCTCAGAACATACATAGGGATATTTATCTTAAAATATACTTGATTAACATGATGGATACTCTATACAATTTCTTCCAAGGTGATTGAATCAGCTGACTTTAGAAAAATAAATTTCTTACACATTTACTCAAAGAATCAGTTTGGTTTTTGTGGTTTGTAGAATTATTGGGATATTATACAGTGGATTTTTCTTGCTTCTTTGCTGATACCCCTGCTTTTACAAGAAGAAAAATGGTATTCCTGCCCCCCTTTATAGCTATCTGCATTCTGCAAAAAATGTATGGGACTGTAGTTCAGGTTTTTATTAGGTGCCTGCCAGATGATGAGAATACAGAATTATCATTTTTGGGATAGAAGCAATGCAGTTAGTAGTAGAATAATTTTGGGTTCCAGTTATAGCCTAAAGCTTCTGAACATTATGGAAGTTAACACAATGGAGCAGAAGATGTTCCAGCCATCAAGATATACATTTCTGCCATGAAGTTAATCTTGTTGAATTAAAGTCCTTTCTGGTTCAGCATCCTCTTTCATGCAGCTATCTTATCAAATATACAAGATTTTTTTTTTAAAAAAAATAACATTATACTGTGGAGTTTCTCATTTAAAACAAAATAATTTGCTAATTTCCTTCTTCTATGCCATTGCAGTCCTAATAATATACAACTAACTTTCTGATTGTTCTGAGCTGAGATTGATAAAAGACAATGTATAATTACAGTGGCTTTTCTAAAATGTAATTTTCATTTTGCAGGTAATCCTCAAGTTACGAATGTAATGGAACCTCCCAATTACAAATTTTAACTCTAGGATTTGTAGGAGTGACTAACATAACTTGAAAGTGATCATTCCCTTCTTTCCCTGCTATCGTTAAGTGCATGAGGTATCTTGGTGGGATAGGCCATGGGGAGAGCTAGCGATGGAACGGGCCAACCAAGCCTTCCCAACCCACTGAGATACCTGGTGCTTCCTCACCTCCCATTCTGTCATGCCGGACTCACTTACCTTGCAAAGATCTGTCTCCTCTTTGCAGCGTTTTTTTTGCCTTTGAGGGAGAGGAGAGCAGGACAATTTCCCTTCCAGCATCCAATTAGCTTGCAAATGCTTTTGGGGCCAAGAGTGAAATGTTCTGTGGCCATGATCTCACATGACTTCTGGCACCTATCCACTTTTACAGAGAATGGGTACCTGAAGTCATGCGAGATCATGACCCCCAGAACATTTCACTCTTGGTATGAAAAGCATTTGCAAGCTGACCAGACACTGGAAGAGAAATCGTCCTGCTCTCCTCTCCCTCAAAGGCAAAGAAACTGCCGCAGAGAAGAGACAGATCTCTGCAAGGTAAGTGAGTCCAGCATGGCAGGATGGGAGGGGGAGGCAGTTTTGGAGAGCGGCAGGGGGGGAGGGAAATAGGTGAATGTTTCAGTGCCTCTAAGGTCGTTCGTAAAGGCAAACAACTGCTATGGTGCTGCAACATTCGTAACTTTGGGACTTTGACGTAAACACGGGGTTATCGCATAACTTTGAACGGTCACTAAGTGAACAGTCATAACTCAAGGATTACCTGTATTTCAGACTGATAGCAAGACAACTTGCTAAAATACATGCTATTCATGCTCACAATGGATGGATACCCAAGTCAAACTTATGGATAAAGATGGGAAAGTACTTCTCTCTTGCACCAACAGAATTTGCAGATGAGGAGTTGCATAAGAGGTAGGCACTTTAAACTCTATCTATGACAATTATTTCCGAGCTCATACATAAATATATTTCAATATCCCTCTCTAGTTTAAAAATGTAAAGTGAAAGTATAGTTTTAGAATATGTGGAGCTCATAAAGTTTTAACTTGCACCACCAAAATAGGAGAAGCTTCATAAAGTTCTGAGAAGTCCTTGAAACTTTTTTTAACCATTCTCAAATTTTAAAAGGTTTCTACAAGATGTGCCAAGCCGTCAAATTCTACAGGATGAAATGGCATGGATGAAGGAGAGACTCTCTAACCTAGGTTCACCAGTGGTACTTTGTCATAATGATGTCTTGTGTAAAAATATCATCTACAATGGAAAACAAGGTAGGTATGGAACACAGCTGTAAGTAACTTTTAAAAATTGTTTTATATTGCCTGATTTAGAGCAACAGCTTGTGGAGGGTGGACAATTTCAAATCTATTTTAGAGTATTTCTAAATGTTGCCTGTAAATTGCTTTAATAGCCATAACTGATATTTTAATATATGAAGGTTTATAATATTTACAGTAAATAATATTATTTTCCATATAGCTATTTTTATTCTAAGTACTGTATAGACAGCAGCAATTTAAGAATAAATAATAAATTGTTGTCTTAACTTTGATTCAGACTTGTTATTTCTGATAGTTTTGGGAGCAAATGTCTCTAGGTTATTGTGTATTATCTCTGTATTCTGAATTATCAGATATATTGATGTCCTGGAGGAATTCTGCATGGTGAAGTATCTGAAAAGATACTTTCCAATTCTCTGTTTATACCTGCTGATGAGGTACATAGGTATCTTTAATGTTGAGCATCTGTTTGTAAATGTATTTTCTGTTGGAAGTATTTTGAAAATTGGCTTTTTGACTTAATTTGCCATCAGTTTCAGAAGTGTTCAACTTCTGAAAAGAATTATTGTGAGAATTGCCTATAATTGATAACATGGTCCAATGGTATTAAAACATTTCCACATTTACTGTTTTCAGTGACATAACCTGATTATTTGATGATAATATGGACAAGCTAGCAATGCATGCCTGTTTCCCTCCCTCTTTTCATATTCATTATATTTTTGAATTACATATATCCCAATTCAGATTATGGTCTTAATATAAACCTAAGACTGAAAGCATGGTTTGGAGTTCTCAAGACTATTTGAGATATCTTTATTAAAATCAATACAAATACAGTTCATATTGGAATAGAGAAGGAAATTACTTTGGAGGGAATTTGATTTCCCATTCCAAGTTCAAAATACAACTTCTGTTTAACAGCATTAACTTGGACTAAGACCTTTGTCTGAATTAAATAAATCAACAAAATTCAAGAAAATAGGAATTGGATGGGATGACATAAATCATAGAACATTGTGCCTTGAAGCTGATGCTTGCTTTATCGGGATAAAAATAAATAGAATGTCCCCCTTAAATTGGTTTAAGTAAAGTGCATGGAACTTTTTGATATTTTCTTTTTCTTCACTGGTTTCTTCACAAGCAGCTCCTTTAAAACTTGAAGTAGTATATGAAATTCCTAGATGATCATATGACTTCGGTTTTCTCAAATAATTATAAATAATTCAAGAAATGGTAACTTTCTCCTATGTGGAAATTATACTTCAAAGCCATACAATGACAGTTACGTTAGCTTTTTTTTTTCCTCAGTTCAATCCAAACTCTACATTAAAGAGACACCAGTGAAATTATTGCTTTTTCCTTTGACCCATCTGTGAGATTTTAATCACAGCCAGAAATTAAATTCCTCATAGCTCTTCTCTTGCAGCCAAGACCCTCACCTGTTGATACATAAATGTGACTTATTGGCCATCTGTCTAGATTACTCTCTTTAGATTTGACTTTAGAGTCCTAATATATGCTTGAATAAGAGATGTGAACTTAATTCATATCATAGAGAGTTATTTTATCAAATCTGAGGAAAGTGTCTTTTCTGTAGAGCTGATGGAACTATTTTTTTAAACAAGTATCTTGACAAAAGTTCAGACACTATCAAGGTTTCTAGGCATCACATGCCTACTTTTGAAACAAATCTGCTGTCATTTTCTTTTGTGAACAGAGTGGAGAATAAATCAGTGAGAGCAGTACATCATTTAAGAGCAATTCTACAAAAACCAGTGTGTGAGTGTTTAGTATTTGGGAACGGAGGGGGAGAGGGACAATTCTAAAAATGTAAAATTGCTTGAAACTTTTAAAAGGGTGGGGGGGGAATACTAAGCGCATATAGTAGCTAGAGTGTACCATTAAAGCTGACATGTTTATTAAATGTTGCAGCACAACACATACACAGTTAGGGCAGAGTACAAGTTGGTTATGTTATGGTAGTTGAAGTTAACAAATAATAGGCATAACTATTATTTGTTAGTTCTGATTTTGTGAGCAATCCCTAATGGTGCTTATGACTTCTGCATTGCTGAAGTATGAAGTATTGCTTTCTAACCTTGGAATAAGCAAACTGGAAAAAAACTGTGTATTGTCTTGTACTTGGCAACAGTGTTTATGAAACTGGTACATAACAGTATTATAGAGGAACCATTTATTTTTGCAGTGGAAACTCAGCTTTAACTTTAACTTTTGTGCAGTAGAAGATAAATTCTTACATAGTGCTGTTAATATATCACTCATGCTGAAATGTTTTGCAAGCTACTTGAAAAAAAATCTTTCAGATGCACGGTGCTCTCTCTATTATTATTATTATTATTGACTTAATTTGTCTCAGTAACAAATCCTTTCCAGAGAAAATTGTTTAGATAATTTTTAATGAAATGGACGAATGTCTCCAGAGGAGTATGAATCTGAACAAACTGATTTGTTTAATCTGTGGTTTTGTGCAAACAGGTCTGGATCTAGAGTCCAGATGTTTTAACTAATTACAAATTGTCCCATATTGAGACAGAACTAAACAGTTCAGATATAATGCTAAACAAACCTTAATTTGATTGCTTCCTCCTTCTACCTGTAGTGCAACAACAAGGAAACAAGAATCAAAGCACATTTGTTGTGACTTATTTATTAAAGCAACTGCAGGAAACATTTAATTTCTAATTAATCTTGTTACACACTTTTTGCACTCAAAGAACTTGAACTTAAAGTGTTACTAGATCATTTCAAAATGTTATCGACTATTCAGTTAATCTTTGTCCATAAAAATGTATAAAGTCCTTTTAAAAGTATAGCACATACAATTATAGTAGTTACCTGAAGCGATTATGCATGTATGAAACCCCTGCCCCAATTATTAATAAAAATTGACTGCAGTTATAATCTCAGCAAATTTGAAATGGACTTTTCCTTTGAGAAGTTTAATTTTGGGGGGGGAACGAGGGGAAAGTAAGACTTCCTTTTGGATAAATAAGTAAATAATTCCTGCAAACCTTATAGTTGAATAAGGCTTAGGTGGCAGATGTGAAAAGAATTTAACCGTAGAATTAAAGAGAAATGTGCAATAATTTTTCAAGAGCATTTGATGTCTTAATTTTGAGTTGTAGTATAATTTTTCTGAAGCTTCCTACTAGAAGATTACTTTATTTTAATGTTAAAATATTCTCCTGTAGTTGTCAATTATATAAAACAGAAAAAAGAACTATTGGTAAATATATTCTTATTAATAATAACAAAAGTGTTCAAATATAATTCCAGTTCCAACACATCTGATGTTAACAGTCTAAATTTCTCCTTTTTGATTACATTTGTATATAAAAGCTTATCAATGCATTCAGCTGTTAAATTTAGTCATTGTAGCTTACCCAGTTGAAAATTAGTACCTTTTAATGATCTTTAAAGATATAGTAAACCAAATATATTGCTTTGCAATTAGTAGCAAGTACTCAAAACTTTGAAGAAGTGGGAGTAGAAGATTAATTTTGACATTGTTTTTAATTTTCCTGAAGAAATACTGTCATAGTTATATTTGTATTGACTACAAATGCACGTTATTTGTATAGTTGTTTGCATCCCTTCTCTGTAAGAGGAAATTGACAAAGGCAATTAGCCCGAACTGTTTTTGCATAAACCTTTTCTTTCGCTATATGCTGGATGTTCACATTGCATTGAATGTGTCAGACACCATAAACATAATTTTAATCAGGATTTTTAAAACACATGTGGAGTCAGGGTCTAATTACTCTGAGGATTTTTGGGGACCATGCTACATGCCATTCCCATGAATATTTGGTGAACAATGCCTTTGCCTGTAATTATGATTCATTACATAAGAAAACCAAAAACAAATGAAAAATATTGCATCCAAATGATAACATTATGTCTGGCAGCAGCCCCTATTTCCTTAAACTCCAAAATGAAATGGAGCCGCGCATCTCGACGGCAGTGATTGAATTTCTTGCAAAACTTAAATTTAAGGCTGAGTTCCACTGTAATGTCAGTCTGTCAAAGAAAGACCAGTGAAATGCAGAACTTTTCTCTTTAAAGTTTTGTGTCTTGTCAAATATGAGTTTGCCAAATTTTCTTCATCTGCTACAGATTAGGTATGCCATTGTTGCTGCCAAGTGGCGGCGTGCACCGTGCTACTTACAGGCACTGACTGGAGGTATTATCGCATCACTTGTTCGCATGCACCTCCCCCTAGGAGAGCACGGAGCCTGGTAACAGCCTCATCTGTATCTTAGCTTCATTTTCTTTCTTTCTTTCTGTCTTTTGTTTTTGTTTTGTAATATTGTTAATTATAACTGGAAGTTAGCAAGGGGTTAACGTATGGTGATAACAGCATTGCAGACATAATTAACGTATACCTTGAATACAAATAATGTTTGATTTACTTAGTATTGTGCATGCAGGTTTTTCACCTGCTATCTTTATTGGTTTTGTTTTTTTAACTGCAAACGTTCAGATGTAGTATAATTCTGTTAAAGGTTAGCTGTATTGGATGGCAAAAGAAGAGTTAAACTGAGTGTGCATTTGTTTTTATAGAATCATCTTTATAAGATGAGTGATTTGGGAAACGGGATCTGTTTAGGGGCCATCCAAAATATTTTCTGATTAGCCTGTAGGGTATAAAGTTACTCCCTGGCTTATAAGATACTATTGTGAGAAGCCTCTGTATATGTTTTAACTACCACCACCCATCCCAACTAAAAATATTCTAAGTCTTGTGGCATCTTAAAATTGACCACATTTATTATGTATCTGATGTGCATTTTTCTCAATTAACTATAATCACGTTTTACAAAGAATCCTGAAAATATGTAATGGAAGATAGAATATTTGGAATATAGACCGACATATCCTCAGTCCTCTTATGGAATTATATTTCCCAGAGCTTCTTTGGAATGACTGATGAGGATTGCTGGCAATATATTCTAGCAGTGAGAACATTTAATGCCTCTCCTTGCACTGCATAATATAAACTATTCTTTATGATTGTATCGCCACGTATGTTTTTCCCTTGATATATTGGACACACTTAAGGTAAAGAAAAGCAGTTTAATTGTTTAGGTGTTCAAAGTTTGTTCTCTATTGCTTGGAAATATATAGTGCTGCTTCCTTTTTTCATATTTTAATCTGAGATATACAGCAGGAGAGATTTAATGACAATATGAATTCATATTTGAATACAACCCATATGGCTTCATGCAGTTGGTGTTCTGATAGTAGGTAAACACTTGGGGAAGATGTGCTGTAATGTAAGCAAAATGAACACATTTTGTATAAAGGAAGCAAAATAACAGCACGTATACCCCTTTTGCAAAATGATAAGCATTCTATTAAAGAACCCCTTGCCTATTACTGTACTAACTTATTTTGTGTTCAGCCCTTTGGATGAGGAATAGTATAAAAATTGTTTGAATATTATATTCAGAGACCAAATCCTTCTAACTAATGGAATTTAAGATAACTGATGCCCCCCTGTGGTAAAAAAGCAGAGGTTCTATCCCTAAGTAATTAAGGAGAAGTATCTTTGATAAAGAAGTTTATTCTGTTCGTTAAAACAAACAAAAAAACCGCAATCTTGGAATTTCCTAAAATGCATGCTATACAGCACAGCAGAGTGGAACACACTGGCAGGTATTAAGGGGCACAGTGCAGATTCACAGCACTCCGCTCTTACTCTTACCAATTTTATTTTTGTGTCTCGTGTAGGTGATGTTCAGTTCATTGACTACGAATACTCTGGATATAATTACCTGGCTTATGATATTGGGAACCACTTCAATGAGTTTGCAGGTACGGTAGTAACCTGGCTGCTAATGGCTTGGACATTAGCACTGCATCAGGATTGGATGAGTGCCTCACAATGTGCAGTTGTACAAATAGAGCCACTTCTCAGATTTGTTAAAACATCTTTTGCAAGGCATGGGCAGGTACTTTGAGACTTGTTCCGAATGCTTCCATGTGTTTGCACACATAGCTGCTTTCCTGGGAAGAAGACCCAATGGACCTAAAATAAATCCTCTCACTTGTCAGCCTGCAGCCTGGGCTTCCTTACTTCCCTTTCTTCATTGTGCCTATGGTGGCAGCAGGAAGTCTTCCATTTAGAATTCAATATAGATTTTAAATTCCTGGGATGAGAAAGGATGTGAGCAATCCTTGGTTGCAGAAGCTTACGGGGCCAGCCCTCCTCCATAGAATTGGGGGGGGGGGAATGAAAGGATGAGTACATGTACCCCTTTTGCTCCTCCACAAGGTGATAATGTAGCAGGTATTCCTGCTGAAGCATTAAAACTCTTAATTAGGGTTATATGAAAGTCTGTGTGAATATGCTCTAACAAAGCAGTCTTTCGGGCTTAATATACCAATTTCAGCTATGAAAATTGTGCCATAATGCACGTGAAATTATGTAAAATTGGAAGCATTTTGTGCTCCATTTACTTAGAGGAAGGAATGTAATATGTGAAAAAGAAATGCCTGGATTGCATAACTGTTTTTAAAAGTTCATTTTAATACTGGGTTTGTTTTTTTCATTTCCGAGATGACTTACAGAACAAATGAAATTTTCCATTTATATCTGATTTGCTTACTCCTTAGTATTCCTGGGAGAAATGCAAATTCTTTTTCTTAGCATTGCTGGAGAGACATCTTGAAATCTTTGGATTTGATTCCCATCTATAGTTAAGGATGTCTCAGTCTGGTTTTGTAAAATGGCATCTCTTTTTGTTTTCTTTAAAAATATCACAAGAATATTTTAGGGTATTTTTGTGTCAATGTACAATGTATCCTAAAAATATTTTCTATATCTGGGGAAGCTGCTCGTATTTTTAGATAAATTTTGCATTGGCACCTTGAATGGACCTTAAAAATAGTTCTTGAAAGAGTCTTTTAGGAAAACTATATTTTAATTCTTTATTATGGTAATTGAACAGAATTCAAATAATTTCCAGCAAATTAAACAGAATAAAACATTATAATTTACAGATAGATCATGATGTAATCAAGTCTGTCTGGTTTTACCAACAGTGTAGCAAAATTGGGCTTTATTCATTGAAGTTGAACCATACTAATAAAAGCTATATATAAAATAAACCAGGATTGCCTGAGTATTTTGCTAAGTAAGGAGCGATAAGGATTACATTGTTATGAAAAATGCAGTATAGTAGGACAAGGACTGCTGGTCAGCTTTTTTAAACTAATTGCTAATAATTGCACCTGTTGCCATGTCATTTTTGGGTATTGTTAGGCACATTTTGAATTCTGATAATATATGGACTGTATATGGACTGTATATTTACTTGCTGTACAGTATTATACAAATTGGAGAAACTAATAAAATAAATGAAAGAGGTGAGAAAAAAATATGCCTGAATCAAGTTTATATCCATACTATTCACTACATTATATTTTTAAAAGCTATCTTTGCACTAAATCCATATCCTGCTTTGAGCATTCTGTTTTATTTTTTGCTGCTAAAGTAGCCTGTAGCTTAGAATACCAAGCATGCAAAGGATATGTAAACAATCCTGAAGTAAAGATTAATTTTGATAGTTCTATATTGGCCAACTTGTATCAAAACTTGATAGTGTATAAGTAGGGAATGCTGCATATGACAGCAGGTTCCATTAAGGCTGCTAACCTAGTTTTCATCTCTTAACTAAGAAAACATTATGTAAACAACATGCTATGTACTTTGGCTCCCACAAAACTGCAGCTATGGTAATTATGGCTGTAGTGAAGAGAAACCACTAGCTGCTTTTGTGGAAAGCTCATCTTTAGGGGGTGACTATTTTGAGTCTCTGAGCCTGATGACCATAGAGGCTTTGAAAATAGGGCTCGGGATTAGGAGCAGGGGGATGAGGCAGAGAGAAAGTGAAAGGTGAAACAAAAAGCTGTTAGACTTCTCTATTCAGTGTTGTAAGAATGCCTGAATTCTTCAAAACGGCCCAAAAAATTTGCTATTCCCCTCTGGCTTCAAATAAGAACGTTGGATGAGAAATAAAGGGAGCAGTTCTTGTTTAAAAAAAGAAAAGGGGTTCCTAAATTTCCTCAGTTAAGTGTCATTCTAAACTAGTTTATTGGAGAAGGCAAAACCAAATGACTTAATCTCTTTTGTGGGATATTATAATTTAATATTTAAATAGAGTGAAACTTGAAATGAGATTGTGCTTGGATTTAAATCCTGCCTGTGGAATCTTTGAAGAGTAGCTGTGAATATATTTATCTTTATTCGTTTCTTGGGCATGGCAGTTTCCTCCCAACTGCTCTTCTGCCCCCACCCCACTCTTCTCTTCACACAGTCAGAAATCCTCAATGCACCAAAGGCAAAAAAAAGAAGAAGAAGAAGAAAGCTTTAGCTAGTCAGGTCCCATTTTCATTTTATAAAAACGCTTCTTGGATGTTCTTGGATGCTTGGGGAAAAAAAAGGAGTATTCTTAAGGCTACTACTTTGTTTTTTTCCTATCTATTTTTAAATACAAATAATCTTAAAAAAATAAAGAGTGGGGAGTTTGATGGGTACTAAAGAACATTAGGTGCCAAGACATGGATCAAAAGAGTGCATAATTTCTGTTTCAGATTCTGAGATAAATAAAGAGCAAAGCTGAACACTGGAATATAGAATTCGTTAATTTTTTTATTTCAATTTTTCTTTTTAACGAGTTACTGTTTTGTAGGAGTGAGTGAGGTTGACTATAACCTCTATCCAAGCAGAAAGCTGCAAGAACAATGGTTGAGATCTTATTTGGAAGCTTACAAGGAATATAAAGGATTTGGAACAGATGTCACTGCAAAAGAGGTTGAGGTGCTCTATGTCCAAGTGAACCAGTTTGCTCTGGTAAGTTTAGATTTTATTTTTCCTAATCCCAGGACCGGGTGGAAGTGATCTTGATCAAGGTTTTACATCTTCTTGTTCATCTTTTGTGGCAGTGAAAATTCAATGATTTTGCTCCTAGATTATAGTTGGTATATGCCAAACCAACTAGGAAAAAGAATGTTCTGTGGGATTGTAGAATATGTGGGTTTTCCTCCAGACCATACTTGTTGTACGAGGGGTGCTTTGATGGAGTTTTTGTGGAAATAATTTTCAAAAAAACCCTGCTCAATTACTTCTGGAATGACAATTCAAAGGCAATCAAACATGCTCAAATTTTCTAGGACAGTACTTTTCATATGCCTAAAAATGACACTCATTATTTCCCTCTTATGATAGCCACACCAAATTCACAAGTGCTATGCTTTTGTCATCTTTGCTACTTCTATGAAAAGTGCTGGTCTTTTTTTATCCTTAACTTGGAGGAAAAAAATAAACATTACTGTTGGGGATTTTGTCCCAGAGAAATGGTTCAAATCATGGCATTCAATTTTGTGCGTCTGTGTCTCTCTGTGTGCATAGAAGAGGCCCACTTTGCCTGATGCACTTCCTTTACATATTGAACAAGTAGGTTTTTCAGCATGGTCTCTGTGATTTACACACATTGTTTATGTATTTATGCCAAGCCCTCTTCAGAATCTTCTAGATTTCATGAAATTATTTGGCAGGTGCCTCCCACACTTCCTGCTCAAACTTCAGTGTGTTTGCAACCACCACTTTCTCAGCACATTCATATTTGAGGTGATCATCCTTGTGCTGTGTCAGGGATCTGTAGTGCTCTCTGAGCTTGGTTTTTTTCTTCCAGACGTTTCATTACCCAAACTAGGTAACATCATCTGTGCTAGTAATCAGTAGCCCCTTCATAATGATCTCCAAGTCCATTATTACCATTTCCACCCTAAGACTGTCCAATTTATACTATTCAATCCTCACTAGCTTTCTTTTTCTAAACTAATTGTTGATCTGAGAAACAAGTAATACTTACTTACTCATCAGGATAGTCAAAATTGAGACGCTTCCTTTAACTTATAATATGATCACCAAGATTGTAGTTGGCCTTCTCATGATTATTCAGTTTCTAAAGGGTCCATTTCTCTTAGTTCAGTTGCCTCCCTGCCCACCAGGTCCTCTTTCATGATAAAGAAGCAGTTGTATCCAATTTCCTTCCATATTCTTAGCCAAAGGTGTGACTACTACCCAATCACATCTTTGACCAAACATTTGATACCTTTTCCAAGTATGTCTCTGTTAGTTGTAGGAATCTTAAAGAATTTTATTCAGACAGATCCCTTATTTTGAGATACAACCAACATTCTTTTGGCCCAATATTGCCATCTTATCCTTAGTGAAGACTGCATCTCCCAAGTCAGCTTCACATTCTTTCTATTGCCATCAATCCATGGGATCTGCTTCATTAATCTCTAAGCAGAACTTTTGCTGATCACCTGATCTATATCCATTAGAATGTTCCTGCAATTAACACATTAGAGGGACAGCACATTCTCTTGCTGTCTTCTGAGAGGATAAAATACTAAGTAGAAGATGATACTGTTCCCATTCTCCAAATTCTAGTGCTTTCAGTCTTGTTGAATACCCTAAAATATCCTAGGTGATGAAACCACCTCTTTTACTGCTGATTTTGCAGTACACAATGTGATTAATAGAGTAGAGGAGTGCTTTTTCTTATAGCACTAAATTCAAATATTATATTGGATACATTTTATTCAAGCTCTCACCATCATTAATATTTTGCATGCATGGATAAGAAAGGCTGAAAATTGCAGAGTTTCAGATGCAATTTAACACTTAACCAGATCTTTTTCCCCCTCTTTATTTTCAATCTTATAAAATTGCATCAACTTTTTGTGTGAGACAAATTGTCTAATGGAAGCAGGACATGGTGCCAAGCAGCAATTAAATACAATTTGTGATGCCGCTGATTCAGCAGTCAAAGGTAGGTGGTCTTCTGTCACACTGCATCACTGTGACTGGCTCCACTCCAGCAGTGGTGATATGTTTCATCTCCCCTGCATGGACTTAAAATAGCTCCTCCTCTCACTTCTGCTCTGTGTACTGCTTTGTCAGATGCCAACAAGTCAATTCTGGCAATGGTAGGTACAAATGCTAACCACGTTGTCTTGCATTCTTAAGAACATTCCTAACTAGCCTCTACTTTCTGCTATTATCATGAGGCAAGAACCAAATCGTTGGGAATGTAGTTATTCATAAAATAGGTAGTGTTAGATGGTGACTATAGGATCCCTGTACAGGTAGTCCTTGATTTACAATCTCAACTGAGGCCAACATTTCTGTTGCTAAGCAAAACATTAAGTGAATTTTGCCCCATTTTACAACTTTTTCTGCCACAGTTATTAAGTGGATCACTGCAGTTGTTAAGTTAGTAACATGGTTATTAAGTGAATCTGGCTTCCCCGTTGACTTTGCTTGTCAGAAGGTCATAAAAGGGGATCACATGAACGCAGGACATTGCAACTGTCATAAATAGGAGTCAGTTGCCGAGCGTCCGAAGTTTGATCGGCGTCCATGGGGATGATGCAACGGTCGTAAGTATGAAAAGATGCTTACGTTGCAGCATAAGGTCACTTTTTATCAGTGTCTTAGCTTCAAAGAGATGCTAAACAAGTGGTTGTAAGTCAAGGACAACTTGACATATTGGGAGCATCATTTCATTTCTTTTCCATGCCCATTTTAGTTTAGTTTTTATCCTGATCCTATGATACTGTTTTATCAGTACCAGCATTTAAATCCTGATTTTTCAGACTTTTCAAAGTCTGTTCAAAGAGTGCGATCTTCAAACATCTTGCTAAATGGGTAGAGGTAACAGTCAAACTTTACCATGAACTTACCGAGCATAAATGCTCCCTCCTGGATCCATACATGCTCCACAAATGTGATTGGTAGCATCAGCAACCTGGAGCTCCTTTTCCTAGTTGAATTACAGTAGGCTGACACATAGCCTCAGTCTTCCCTTCCTGCCTGAGATCTGCAGTCTTTGCGTGACACTCCCCTTGGTTGATTTATACAACCATATTCTCTTCCAAGCAAGCAATTTATTACTGACTCATCTTAGTCAAGCACCAAAGTTACAGGGGACGACAACTTATTATTACCCATAACCACAATTTTCTCAAGCGTTATGTTTGGGTTCAGGCAACAAACACATCTGCCTGCCCCGCTTGTCTCAGATGGTTTCACTATTCCTTCATATCTCCTATGTGAGTCTTAGATAATGAATTCAGGCAAGAGTCCTATTTAGGCACATCGTGCAGTGACCCTCTGCCTTACAATTCTAGAAAGTGTCAAACAGACCCCTCCACTGGGCATTAATGTGTGAATTCACAGGTGACTCGAAAGAAGTGGAGTTAAAAACAATTAATTTGCTTTTCTTCACCCCAGAACACCTAAGCATTTTACAGCATTGTATGCATATATAAAATAAATAGGGTTGTGCAGTTGGGGAAAAAGTTGTTTAGGAGCACACGGGAGCTTGAAGGCAGGAGCTGTTTCGTGGTTGTTAAAGCAGGTGTGTCTGACTCCAGGACAGTGCAGCTGCTGTGAGGCTCCAGAGTATGGATACAGACACCGCTACTTTAATGATAGTCACCAACAATTGTGTTTACACTGCCATATGTTCCAAAGCACCTATTTCCAGTCGAAACCAAAGCATCCTTAGAAAATAGGAATCAGTCTGTTTTAATTGCTTACTACCATCTATACACTGTTCATCTGCAGAGAGAAAAAAAAGTCTCTAGGCCTTCATCAGGTGCCACCATGTCTATTCTGGTCATGGTATGCACAAGTGCTAACCATGTCGGTTTGTTTTCTAAGGACCTTCTGAACTATCCTCTATTTTCTGCCATTATTGTGAGACCACGGAACCAAATTCTTTGGAATAACAGAATGAGTTGGAAGGGACCTTGGAGGTCTTCTAGTCCAACCTCCTGCTCAGGCAGGAAACCCTATACCATTTCAGGCAAATGTTTGTAGTTATTCATAAAATAGGTGGTGTTAGTGGATGACTACAGGTAGTCCTTGACTTATGATCACAATTGAGCCCAAAATTTATGTTGCTAAGTGAGGTATTTGTTAAAATGAATTCTAACCTATTTTATGACCTCTTTTGCCACAGTTGTTAAGTGAATCACTCAAGTTGTTGAGTTAGTAACAGTTGTTAAGTGAATCTGTTTCCTCCTTTGGCTTTGCTTGTCAGAAGGCCACAAAGGTGATCACATGACCCTGGGACACTGCAACAGTTATAAATTCATGTCAATTGCCAAGCATCTGAATTTTGATCATGTGGCCATGGGGATGCTGCAATGGTCATAAATGTGAAAAACAGTCACTTTTGTCAGTATTGTCGTAACTTCGAACGTTCACTAAACATACCCTTGTTAAGTCAAAGACTATCTTGCAATTTCATACTAAAATACAGCATTAAATAAAAATTATTTATTTATTTTTTATTTTATTTGGTTTGGCAATTGCTTACAATATAATAGGTATAAGTAAAAACATAGTTGTGAATACATGGATACATATAAGAATAAAAGAAACAATAGGACAGGGATGGTAGGCTCGTTGGTGCGCTTATGCACGCCCCCTACAGACCTCTTAGGAAACGGTGAGGTCAATAGTAGAAAGTCTAAGGTTAAAGTTTTTGGGGTTTGGGGAAGAAACCACAGAGTCAGGTAGAGGATTCCAGACATTGACCACTCTGTGGCTGAAGTCGTATTTCCTGCAATCAAGTTTGGTGCAATTAACCTTTAGTTTGTATCTATTGTTTGCTCTTGTATTGTTATGATTGAAGCTGAAGTATTCATTGACAGGTAGGACATTGCAATGTATGATTTTATATACTATACTTAGATCGGACCGAAGGTGGCGTAGTTCTAGATTTTCTAGGTCTAGAATTTTGAGTCTGGTGGCATAAGGTATTCTGCAACGAGTAGAGGAGTGGAGAATTCTTCTTGTGAAATATTTCTGGACTTTCTCAACTGTGTTAATATCAGATACATAATGTGGGTTCCAGACTGATGAGCTATATTCAAGTATTGGACTAGCAAATGTTTTGTATGCTCTAGTTAGTAGTGTAATATTACCAGAGAAAAAGCTACGTAAGGTTAGGTTAACAACTCTTAATGCCTTTTTGGCTATGTAGTTGCAGTGGGCTCTAGCACTTAGATCATTAGAGATGAGTACTCCAAGGTCCTTGACAGAGTTTGGATCATCAACAAGGTCTTGACTATTCAGCCTGTATTTTATTTTCTGATTATTTTTTTTTGCCAATATGTAAGACAGAGCATTTGTTTGTTGAGATTTGAAGTTGCCATTTGTTTGACCATTCTGATACATAGTCAAGGTCTTTTTGAAGGGTAGCACAAAATAGGCCACAAAATGCTGTAGCTTTCAAGATAGCAAACTCACTTAAAAATAGCTAATACAGTAAAGTGCTATAGGAGTAAGGCCATTTCCATATACCAGGAAGTGCTTGAATATCTTCTGCTACTTGAAAGCTGTTTTATTGTTACAAATACATCTTGTCTTACATTTATGAGGGCTTTACAAAGTGCTTTAAAGAGGTGCTCTATGTAGCGTGTTAGAAGAAGCAAATTACCTCTCTTGAAGGCATCCATCCTTTTCACGACTCACAGAGCTACTTTTGAAAGCTGGCCTCATCTGAGCAATGGGTCACTAGCAAAGTGGCAGAATGTGCAGCAGAATGTGCTCAGGCCTTCCAGAGGATGCAGATACTCCTAGGGAAGATGACTTATCAGTGCTAGCATACAGAGTTGCTTAGGAGTTTGTGAACTTGTTTGAATTTTCAATATTTCTGCATCAATATGACCTAAAATATGACTTGATTTCCACACAGGCCTTAAAATTAGGCAAAAAGAATCCCAATTAAATCAGTCAAAAACATCAACTGTATTCACTTATTTATTGAAAACAATCAACGCTACATGTTTGTGTGGGGTGAAAGCTTTTGTTTTCAGTAAGTGTGGTAGCAATTTGGGCAGCAGTAACTGCAATTAAACATTTCCAATGTCTGTTGATCAGACTTGGACATCATCTTAGAACAATTTAGCCCATTCCTCCTTACCGAGCAGCTTCGACTTCCTTGCACGAACTGCCTCCTTTTGGGTCTTTTAACATAATGTTTATAGGCAGTCCTCAACAACCACAATTGGGCTGGAATTTTGGTTCCTAACAATGCAGTCATAAAGTAAGATGTCACATGAACAGATGACCTAGTAATCACAATAACTGTAGTTTCGTTAAACGAATGTTACTGATCATTAGCCATGTATTCACACCAAGCCTGGTCCTTCCCAGCCCTGAGCAGGTAAGGGACTGTCTCTAACTCCACCGATAAGGCGGGACCTCCCACATTTGAGCTTGATTATCCTCCCATAGATTGAAACACTTGGCTGTAATTTCCCGTTCAAATAAACTGATAATCCTAGAGGTGTACATATGTTTGCCCCCCACAGGTATGTAACTTTAGATGATTTTCTTCAATAAAGAAATGAACAAATACAATGTTTTTGAGTCTTCTGTTTAATTGGCTTGTCTCTAGTTTTAGACTTGTTTGGAGAACAGATCATGTTTTACGTTGTATTTATGGAAAAATATTAAAACTTCAAAAGGGTTCACAAAATTTTAGTCATTGCTCTACTCGTGTGAGTCCTAGTGCTTACATGTGACTAAACTACTTGGCTAAAAATATTTCCCATAAAAAACAGTTTATTGGCTACATAAGCTTAAAACGTATGTTTGTACTACAAATTTTATAAGAGCTTTCAGGTTAGATTGTAGAATTGAATGGTGGGATTATTTAGTATAGTATGTGTAAAACCTTTACTTCATAAATGAATGGAGTATTGTGATGTTGCCTTAGTGTGTGCCATGTTGCCATTTCAGATTGTTAATGTGTGAGGTCTAATTTGCAGACTATGTGAACAAACTTAGATAAATTAAGTTGTTTTTGGTGTTTGAGGTATCACACAATAGGGTATTATAGAAAAAAACAGGAACTGTTATCAAGCAACTATGAAATAAGATAATAAAAATACATCAACTGTGTAAATAAGAGAGATTTGGTATCTTTCAAAACATATTTTGGATGTTAGATATCGCAGCCTTAATATTTATGCATACTAATGGAAATACCTCTTCAGTTTTAAGTTTTTAGAAAATTTTCATTGTTGTGTTTAAAACTTATTAACCATGTCTGTTAAATTGTGGTTTGATACTGAAAATTACATTAGAGAAGCTGTTCATGTCAAAATATAGTGGGATAAAATAGATTTTTTTTAACATTTACATTAAATTATACTATATCTTTTTTTCTGTAGAAGTCTTAAAACCTTCAAAGCAAATAAAAGTGTAGTACAATTGGAGCCTTCAGAATTTGAGGTTGTCTGTGCAAATTGAATTTGGGGAAAACTGTTATAAATCTTGGCCTTAGAAATCTGTTGGCTAAGATTACCATAAACTCAAATCACCATAAACTCAAATACTATGGAATACAATCATAGTATGAACATTGATTATTTGTGCGTTGCTTTTTCTAAGTAGTCTCTGAAAACAAGACCATTCTGACTAGTTTCACTGATCAGGATGTATTTGTTTTCCTCTGCAGGCCTCTCATTTCTTCTGGGGATTGTGGGCCCTAATTCAAGCCAAATACTCCACTATTGACTTCGATTTTCTAGGGTAAGTAATTAATAGAGTCACCCTATCTTAGATATATAAAATGTTCTGTATTCATAGGATTTTGTATTAAAATGAATTGGTTTCAGCTTTCATGTAATACTTTTGTAAACATTTTTTATTTAAGATATAGATCTTTAAATTTGAAATAACCACAACTGACTGTGAAATAGATTTTTGTTGATACAATTTTTTTTCAGGCTAATCAGTTGCACAAAAGTAAAATAGTAAAGCATAAACACATAGAGAGCTGCTTCTTTGATTATAACTATTAAAATTTCATTTATTCAAAAGTTTGATGAATAGCTGCTTCTGTATACAAACTATTTTTGTCCCCTCAGAGAATTGCAGCTCAACCAAATTAAATTTTAAAATGTTTAAATTCCCATTATAACTGAACAAGTGGACTCATTTTGAATTAAATTAAATAGAGAGTGAGAATGCAGGTTTTGTCTAATTTTCATGCTTCTTTTTCCAGTAAATTCAGTGCATCAATCTTTCCTAACCTGGTATCCCTTAGATGTGTTATTTGAATTCCCATAATACCGCAGCCAGCATGATTATGTGCCACATTGGCTGAAGTGACATGGGAATTGAAGTCCCAAATATAGCCACAGATATATGCCTTGCTTACTGGAACCATAATCCTAAATTTATTAAGGCTTGGTCAGCATGCTGGTTATAAATACTAATATTTTTGGCTACATGAAATCAAAATATAAATGCTGATTGGGTTAGATTTACTAATCAAGTTGACCTGGGACTAGATTGAAATGTCTGTGGAAAAATAACCTTAATCTGCTATCCATATCATATAATCTGGCCCACATATATTTTGAAAAGTTGGAAAAGCTGTCTGCATATCTCTGGAAATTTTTACAAAAACACTATATAACCACTAGATGGCAGGAAAAACTAAAAATAAGTGTGTATAAAAGTTGAATATTGTGATTCATGGAAAACTGCACCCAAAATCATATTGACCGAATGCTTTTGTTTGCTCACGTAGGTATGCAGTTGTTCGCTTCAATCAGTACTTCAAAATGAAGAATGAAGTAATGGCATTAAAACTTCCTGAGTAGAATTTGAGAACTTGGTTACCCGCCTGTTGAGAAGATTCCTTACTGTTTTTGTCATGAGTGCATAATAGGAAAAAGCTCTACATTTGTATTATTCCTTCTTCTTCTTCTTTTGCTTTTCATTGCCTCTAAATAATCTTTCAATGGTAAACTTCAAACGAAAGTCTTTTCTGATATTGTGGAAGAATTAGAAGCTAATGGATTTCTGAAACACAAGGAGAGCAAATTTAATCCTTTTTCTTGTATTTTTGTTTAAATGTGAGACATGAATTATTTATTACGAGTTTAACATTCCATTGCTGCTGTTTATCGGTCCTCCTTAAGGGAGAGGATGCAGGTGACCATCCTGTAAACTTTTTTACATCTCAGATTGGTACAGCATTCAGTTGTTTAACTGTGAACTACATGGAGTCTACACAACAACAGATCCCAGTTTGTACTCAAGCCATTGGTGCTGACTGGAGATTTCATCAGGGTGGAACAAAATAATTTTCATTCTCTTGTTTCTCTCAGCTCTAGCAAGTTGCTGTATGGGGGTGGGGGAGGGGGAAATGACCGTTCTTGTATATAGTGGAAGCAAAAATGTTGGAGAGACCTGCTCACTGCATTAAGGAAATGATACCCACTTTCTGTTGGCTTTTAAATTTGAAGAGGGATCTTATCTTGAAATGTAAGCTTTAAATGACCACTCATCCAGGTGTCGTGTATTTTCCTCCCTAACAAGTTTTTTTTAAACCTTTGAACACCTTGTTATATAATCTAAGGATAAAGATAGTAGCTAGAAACTGTAGTAAAAACCAACAGGGTTTTTGTTGAGCAGTCCTGTAATAATTGGGAGCAAAACTTAATTTTTTTTTTATTTCTTTAGGCTTGGTGAGTGTCCACATAATTTTCTTCATTGACTTCCTTACCTTGATTCCACCTTCTTCATCCTTTCTTTAGTAAACGGTAGTGGCATTTGAAGAACGAGAATTGGTCACTGACATTTTAATCTTCTTTTTCAAAAGCCATCCTACCAGGAATGGTTTAAATTTCAAAAAATGTGAAATGAAACACAATGTTTACTTAGCGTATGTGTGAGAGTATGTGTGTTTAAGAATGGGGAAGTTGCGCTAAACTTTGAAAGTCGTGACATTAAGTTCAATAATAGTTTTTGTTGGTCCTATATTTTTTTGTCCATTTTGGTCTCTTAAGTGCCCATATATGTGAAGTCTGTGTGTTCATAGGCATTATATAAAGGCAGATATACCTTAAACAGCAATGAAGTGGAGAACCTGTTGTCCAGACTCAGTAAAAATATTTATTCAGAAATATTTTATGGGACTCTGTAAAATAAACATTGGATGAAAAATAAACCTGACTTGATCTGATGTGGGATATGAATGAAAAATTTAACCCAAAGTTACTGATAACATCTGTTTACAGAAATAAAAACATGACGAGGTACATTTTGAGATAGTTCTAAAACCATTGTCCTTTTAAATGCCCCAAACATTGGTACCTCAAATGTCCCATTATTCAACAATGAAATTAGTTTAGGAAAAGTAGGGTACAATCTATATTCTGTGGTCAGTTTTCCCCAGTGTGGTGCTGAATGGGTGTAATGAACATAACTACCTGGTTGGTTCTGAGGTTCCAGGTTATCAGTATGGTAACAGGAATTATATTCTACTCAAATTTAAAGGCTTTCATATGGAGAAGGGTAGTTTTACTTTAAGATACATTTCAGCTCTTACCACAGATGTACATAAATTGGGCAGCTTCTTTTGATCATCAGTGTTGAGCCAATTATTAAAGAAAATGTATAATTTATCAGGTAAAAGGGTGTTGCTCGAGCTCTAGAAAATAAGAAAACAGCTCCTTTTTATGTCTTTTTATTAATTTTACGTATTCTTTAATGCCTTTTTACGGTGAGGCCCTTAGGAATTAGGCAGAATTAAGTTACAGAAAGCTTTAATTTTCAAAAGCCTAAAACTGCTTTGTTCAAAATGCTCTCTGAATTTAACCTTTATAGATTGTTGGAAAAAAGTAAAAGTTACTTTTCAAGCTAGCCCCCCCCCCCCCCCCAAAATCCAGCCAAGGCTTAAGGTTTAGTAATACTTGGAAAGGTTATTTTAGTTCATTATCATAATGGTTACTATCATCTTCCCCCCCCTTTTTTTGGTACATAAAAAATGATATCCAAAGTTTGATGGTTCATCTCCTCTGTTAAGCTGGATAGAAAAGAATGTGCCTCACTGGATGAATCTACAGATACTGATAAACTTTTACTACATTTCAACTGAGCTTAATATGAACCAATTAAAAGTTTTTCTTAAAAAAAATAATGAGCTCTTTAGAAGAGATGTATTTTGGCTTCGTCTCCAAGGTGGCTGGATTTCAATCATGTTTCCATTTTTGCCAGAATGATGTTAGATTGAACATTTTCCAGCACAGTGTGTTTCTGAATACATTGAAGACGTATAAAAATAATTAGTGGTTTTAACTCATTCTTAAGAGAAAATGTCCATTTACCTTAAACAGTAGTACATGTAGCTTAATATTTTGTTATTTCAGAAGCTTCCATTTTCTGCTCTCCCACTTTTTAATTCCTACTTTGGATTTTTGAGGTGACTTTATCACACTTTCCAGTTTGCTGTCATTTTTTCAAGTACTTGAATCTTTTATTTTCCAGAACTCTAGAAAACAACCTCAGGTAGTTCTGGCTGTGACTTGGTAACGAACTAATCTGTTGCCTGTACTTTTAAGCTAAAAGACCCTTATGCCATCACTAGAGACATTGTTGTAAACTGTAGTGAAAAATAGGGAGTTACTAGAAACAGCATTCAATACTGTAAACATAAGCCTACAGACCATAGTGGCCTAGTAGCTTTTGTAAAGCAGAAATGCGTGAATTTTTTCATCACACTGGCAATCAGACCAGGTTAATCAACCTATCCGATGAATTCTGAAGCTTCCTTGGTGTAATGGTGGTGGATTTAGAAGAAAATTGGCATTGTTTTGAACTCTTGGCCTGGGGTTCTTAATGTGAATTTTGTAGAAGGATTAGCTAATCAATTTAAGGTAACTGGGTCTAACTGTGTATATATAATAATGTAAATAACCATTTGTAAATTAGTGTGAATTGTATGGTACCTCGCATTTATGAACTTTATGTATTTTCGTTGTATGTTCCTTTTTGTAGAATTTGGATGTAAACCAAATATCCAGTTCTTGACATCTGTTGAACTCTTTTTGTTAAATAGGCTGCCTTCAAGGGAATTCCCAGTTGGAAAACAATAGTACCTGAGGATGCATATTAGCTTACATAAGGTGTCTTTCTTATGGTGTTTGTAGTGTCTGCCTTAGTATTCATACATTTTCGTTGGAAGAACTAATCAATCTAAACACGAGTTAGCACAATTGCTTTCAAGTGACAATATCCATTCTAGTAGGAAGCAGATTGGCTAATTAGAGGAAAAGTGGTTTTCTCTCCTGAGATATAATGAAGGTCCACTCCGAGTTGGGCTTGTCATGCACAGGTAACTCTTGCTTTGAAAAACCCTTGTACAAATTCCTAACAGTGCAGAGTCCTGCATATTAAACAACAACATCAAAATGTGAGAAGTAGAAATAGAATTCGCCACTATTGCAATTGGAAACAGCTCATGCAAAAAGAAAGATACATATAAAATTGCAGCAGCAAATGATACAGTGAAGTCCTTAACATAGTTAAGAAATTTCAACAAGACATGCTTAAGAGTACTTTGTTTTACTCCTGGTTCACTTTGAGCTTTTCATAAAATCTGGATTTGCACCCTCTGATTCATTGACATCCTCCAAAAAATCTTGTACCCCTGTAGCAAGAGGATTTGTTGGACCACCCTTAAAGGTTGTTAAAGTTGCAAGAATTCAAGGGTACCCTTTTCTGCTTCTGTAGAACTGATGAAGTTGGACATTTTTTCTCAATTTCCCCTAATTTTCCTTTTGGTTTAAAGAAACCTGACCCCTAAAAGTGAAACTTTCTCCTTGTCAGTCCGAGTACATGTTCTTGAAAAGTTGTATTCTGTTGAGCCTACTTTTTAAAAATGAATTTACTTGTGCTTCGTAAAATTTCCTTCACACACAATAAAGTTGCAAGGGCTTGAAATGAATAGTTAATCTAAAGTTTTTCTGGCCTGGAGGTCAGTTTCTGTTTAGCTAGATTGGCCAAATATAGGGAATCTGACCCATTATGGACAATTGTCCACTGCTGCATCATTATTGATGATAAATAAATAAAGCAGCGTTTCTCAACATTGGCAACTTTAAGATGTGTGGACTTCGACTTCCAGAATTCATTCAACTGGCTAGCGAATTCTGGGAGTTGAAGTCCACACATCTTAAAGTTGAGCAACACTGAACTAGAGACTTCCCGAAGTAGTGCAGCCCTATAACATCGGATGGTGCCTACCAGTTAATGCTGTATGCAGACTGGGAAGGGAGGCAGGGAGAAACAAGATCGATAGGAATTATTTGCGTATAACAGTGCTCAGAAAAGTTGACGTTTTTGTTTGCAAAATTAATAAATAGTGGCATAGTGATGAATTGCCAAGTCCATGCCTGTTTGAAATAAATTAGCAGAAAACAAATTCTGATTTTGGCGATTTTCTCCAGCAAAGTGAAAAAATTTCCTCACCCAGTCTCCAAAGATGAAGGCCCTTACTTTGGTTTTGCTATTGAAATATTGCTATATAAGATCTCCATATAGTAGAATACATTGATATCCAATGTGCTTTAAATGATGAATTGATGTTTGTGTTTAGGATATATTTTTAAAAAAAACTTAAGCCTTTTGGAGGTGCCTGCCATTTTGACAACGTCCTGAAACCCAGTCAAAGAAAGGGGGCCAATCTGGAGCAAGTTCTTTCCAGCTTGGCTCTCCGTCCATAGGCAAGTGCTAATTAATAGGTTGATTGAGATAATAAATAAGCACTTAAATGAGTTGTAAGCATTGCTGACAGAAAGTGCTGTATAAATTATAAATGACAGCAAAAGCAATTCTCGCAATACTAACGCAGACCAGCAAACAGTGGCTCAACTGTGAAAATACTGATTAAAATTATCAGTCCCAAGGAGCGGCAATATTACTGCTGGGCTTAATTTCAGCATGGTTTTAAAGCTTCTTGTGTTTCTGATAAATACCTATATCCTATTTGTTTTCCAAGGTGGATCCTGGTTGCATAACAAGCCTTATGCTTAATTGTAAATGGTGTCAGCGGGTTAAAATATTTTTAACATCTTGCGCTAATTAAAAACTGCATTTACAAGGATTCATTTTTTGAGGCTGACCATCCATATGTGACAACGACAACAACGACGTATAGGAGCAGATCACCCCTACCCCTTTGGCTCTCTTCTCTCTCCTTGCATTTTAAACCTTTTGTTTGTTGAGTCAGTCCTGTCCTGTGAAGGGTTGCCTGTCCAATGAAAGGGAGAGGAAAAATCCCTAATCTGTATGTTATGAATGGAACTAAAAATTGTGCTTTCTGTTCATTGGCTTGTACTGGAGTGAACTTTTTTTTTTTTAGCTAAGCATTGTTGAAGCTCTATATTAAGGCCTTTTATCATTGATTTCAATGAAGGAATGTATCTTGCAAAGAGATTTATATTATGTAAATAATTCAAAATTGGTTGTAACAATAAAGCTGGTTTTTAACTGCATTTCAGTTGTTGTTTTACCTTACATAATTTTTTTTGGGGGGAGGAGAGTTTCTCAAAATCAACCAGAATTTCCTGACTTCTGAATCTTTTTCAAGATTAGAGTTTTAGTTCTGAAATAAATTGACACCTTGATTCAAAATGTAGCCCCTAAAGCGACTTGTGTTGCTTATTTTTAATATCGGAAAAACAAATCGTGCTTCTTAGTGAACTTTGGAGTGTATTTTTCTGATACGGAAGCCCAGAATGAAATATTGGTAGTACCTCTTTTTTTTTTTTCCCATAAGGAAATATAAAATCGATGAATCATGCATTTGTATCAACTTCATCAGTTCTTCATCAGTAGGCTTTTTTACTTGCCTGAAACAACTCAGTCCTCGTCTGATTATCATATTTTGCTCAACTGCTTCCCTTGGGAGAAACAGTAGCTCGGAGCTTCAAGCTCAACCTTCAATTAAATAATGTCTTCTCATGGGAAAAGACATGGCCTACAGGTTAAGGCACGAGGCTTGTCAATGGAAAGATTGGCAGTTCAAGACCCAAACACCACATGACCGGGGGAGCTCCTGTTCTTGCCCCAGCTCCTGCCAACTTAGCAGTTGGGAAGCATGCAAATGCAAGTACCAGTTTGATGGGAAGATAACCGTTCCGTGCACCTTGGCATATAGTCATGCTGGCCACGTGAGTATGGAAAGAGTCTTCAGACAACGCTGGCTCCCTCAGCTAGGAAATGGAGACAAACACCATCAGTCAGACATGACTGGTCAGAGGAAACCTTATAGCGACAGCATTTAGACTTCCCGGTGCTTTACAGCCCTCTCTAAGCGGTTTACAGAGTCAGCATATTGTCCCCAATAATCTGGGTCCTCATTTTACCCATTCCAGAAGGATGGAAGACTGAGTCAACCTTGAGCCTGGTGAGATTCGGACTGCCAAATTGCAGGCACACGGCAGTCAGCAGAAGTAGCCTGCAGTACTGCACTCTAACCACTGCGCCACTGTGGCTCAGTTTTGTTATGGAAAAGACAGATTTTGGGAGCAGCCACCAGCCAAAGTAGGCAATAGTCCTAAAAATGTGTAACTCTTTTGGCTGAAATAAGTTACTTCATTCTAGTCGATTTGAACTGTATTGTGTTTTTTTAACAGGCTAAAATGACTGCCGTTTTTAAAAGCTTGGCAAAAGAGATCATAGATATAAATGTGATACAAGATCTTTCTGTAGCTTTTAATAATATAGGGGAGAATTCTCTATGGTTTGGATATAGGTTGACCATTGACAGCACAAACTCAAGTTCGGCCCCTAGGTCCACATGTTTCAAAACTGACTTCATTCAAAAAGGAGTGATTATTATCTTGCTTACCGGTGGACTCTTTTTTTCCACCAAAAAATTATGATTGATATACTGGACTCTTCTAGTATATTAAATGCTTCCAATGGGCCAGTTAGCTAAAGCAGATCAGGAAATAATTAGAATAAAATACTCCGGAGGAATTAATTCCAAACAAATCAGTAATCAGGAACAATATGATCACGCTCCTATTTTTCCTCCACAACATCTTTATCAGGTAGGTTGATTTGAGAAGGAGTTAGTCATTCAGTGAGGTTCAATGACCAAGGATTGCTTAGAACCTGATCTCTTCTTGGTCTAATCCAGTCATTTAATTACAGCAGTGAAAGAGTCTGGTACTTCAATATAATCTATGAACAACAAATTTTCTGGCTATTTTGAACTTCCTGGTGCCAGTGTATAGTGGGTATTTCTTGTCGGCAAAGCTCAACAAATAATGCCACACAGTTTCACATTTGGCAGACTGAAAGCTCAACAACCCAGCCATACAGCAAGCAAACTGTCATGAAGCTATATTATAGATCAGGGGTCGCCAACCTTTTGGACCTCAGGGACTGCCAAGCTCATAATTTTAATCCTGCAGACCAGAGACCCTGGGAAAATTCCCCCAAAAGTCTGCCGGAAAATTCCCCACCCTGTTTTTCAACTGATCGATCATTCTTTATTTGGAATCGCAGGATACCATCTCCAGCTCAGTTCTGGGCGGGGTGGGGGGAGGGGAGAGAGAGAGAGAGAGACTTTTGGCTTCGTGCAAGGAAAGCAGCAGAAGCAGCAGAAGTCTTTCTTTCTCTCCCTCAAACTCTGCCAGAAATGAATCTTTGCCGGTGCAGCCTCTTGGAGCAGGATGCCTTGCAGGGTCCCAAAGACTCATTTCTGGCAGAGTTTGGGAGAGACAAAGAAAGACTTTTGCTGCTTTCCTTGCATGCAGCCAAAAGCAGAAGAAGAAAAAAGTGGAAAGAAGCAGCTGGTGGCCAGGCCGGGCGCGTGGGGTGAGTGAGACAAGTTCTCCCCTCCGCCCTTCCCCCCCCTCATACCTTGTGTTGTTGGTAATGCAAGCGACACAAACCTTGTGTTCCCACGCAGCCTGGATTAATTGCTTTTTGGGGGGGGTACTTTGGGGGTGACATTTCTCTGTGTACCACCAAAATTTTCTTGTGGACCACCAGTGGTCCCCAGCCCACTGTTAGATAGATATAGATATAGATAGATAGATAGATTGCAAATATGAACTGGTAACTTATCCAGAGCAATTTTGGGGGCTGTTTTGTTGAATAATGCATTTTCCAGGACATTGTGGCTTGAATAATGTCTTTTAAAAGCAAATGCTAAATCAGAGGAGCACTTAAAGCAATAATGCCTTAGTTTGTTTTTAAACCCAGGACAAAGATCAAGATCTGGCGGTATTATATTTCCAGCCCAGAACATTAAAAACTGCTACAGTATTTCAAGTTTAAAGTATTCAGAAAATGTTTCTTTCATTAAGAGAATCATATGCACCACCTTAAATTCTTAGAAAGGTTTGGATATAAATGTAATTTGCAAGTAACAGAATACTTCTTGAATAATTGTCTGAGTGATTACATTAATCATCCATAACTGGGGCGGATACCAAACACTAATCAGGTGCCAAGAAATCATTATACTTCATAAAATACCAAGCAAGTAACCTGTATCAAAACAAGAACAAAAAAAGTATTTTATGTGGTACACCACCCATTCAGCATACTTTGTTAGATTCATACGCTGCAGAAGCTTGAAACGGCATGCAACACATTCCCTTCTCATTTTTCCTACAATAACCCTGAAAATTAAGTTGAGCTGGGAAAGTGATAAGTTATCCAGACATTTTCATGGTTGAGGACAGACTGAAAATTGAGCCTCCCCAGTCCTATTGCATTTTATGCACCCATCACAAATTTAAAGCAATTAATTTACATGCTTAACATATTGTTTTTATTTTGCACAAAAGACCCAGGGGTGGGATTCTACCAGTTCAGCCTGATTCGGGTCTGAGCTCCGAGGATCAGCTGTGAGCAAACCGTTCACTCTGACGATCAGCTGTTGAGCCCACCTGCCCATCCTGGCTCTATTCTGTGCTTTATTTCCGGGTTTTCCAGCTCAGCTAATTCTCACAGCACAGCGGATTGCCACCTGTCAGCTGTTTAACACAGATATTGCTGGAGAAGGTCAGGAGAAAACGCATTGCACGTGTGCAAATTGCGTGCACGAACTGCGTGCTAACCGAACCAGTTGTTACACCGGTTGAACTACACCCCTGAAAAGACCCAAAGGTGCTTTTTCAAGAGGCAACTGGACTTTCTGGAAATTGATGTCCATATATTTTAAAGTGGCTAAGGTTGAGAAACATTTTAAGGTGAAAAGATTGATTACAGTCAAGAAATAATGCACCTAAAGCTACACATGGGATATAAAGATGATTGTCTATACCAGCCCGCGGTGCCTTTGCCAGTGAAAACGGAGCTCGGGAGATCCGTGCATGGCCCACCCGAGCTCCGTTTTTGCTGGCAGAGGGTTGCAGGAGGCCGTTGTAGCTGAAAACGGAGCTCCGGAGCCTGTTTTTGCTGTCAGAACGCTCAGGCCGCCACAGCCACCCCCGACACAAGTGATGTTGAGCTGACCATGCCTACCCTGGCCACGCCCGCCCGGGGCCTCCCGAGGTCAAACACAACACTGATGTGGCTCTCAATGAAATCGAGTTTGACACCCCTGATCTATGCTAACCTCCCATCCATTTCTAAAAAGCCTTGAAAAGATGTGCATAACAAATGCTTGCCAATTACGACATAAATTCTTTAGGGTCTTAGGAGCAAGTATCTAAGTCTCATTAATTGATTCCTTGCTGGCTGATGAGACTTAACCCGGATGGTTGAAAATAGCAGTAAACGTTTTACTGCTGAGCTCCAGGTGTCCGAGCCAGAATTGCAATCCCAAAATCTTTTGAGGACACCAGGTAGAAAACAGTTGTGAGAGATAAGTTGTGTGTCCTTCTCGCCACCTGCTCTTTCCAGTTGCTATCAAAGATACCTCGATGTCTTGTGGGCGAGTTGCTGAGAAGAAAAGTGTTATTTTTCTCCCTTTATCTCCCAATGAGTTGCAGCCAAGATCTGTAATTGCCTTGCTCCTAATGTTGCGTAACTGTTAGCCAGACTCAAGCCAAGCATTAATGAATTTCATCAGAACTTCATTTTTTAATGAGCATCATTAATCGTTAGTCAGGCACGTTCCAACCCACATTTTGTGAAAGTGAAGGATTGCCAACTCTGTTGTGCTATAAAAACAGCATATTTTCCCCCAGATTTTCTGATAAAAATGAAATGATTTTTAAAATGATCTTAGGAGGAATGTGCAAGTGGGATGCCTGATTTTTTCTAAATGGGCATAGCAAATGGTAGCCCGTTTTGGCATCTCTTTGCGACAGCTAATCTTAAAATAT